ATTGACACAACACGAAAGTCCACTAGTCGTTTAAAACAATACATCGAAGACCAACGTGCTTAACTAGAAGCATTGAAAAAAATCAAAGGATCAAATGTACGAATGCTCGATTTTTCCAAAATATAGTTATCAAATTCATCGAACAAAAAGTAATTTACTGAATCCATAAATAATCAACTAACTAGTAAAATTCAACGAATTCTTCGTGCAAAAGTAACAAATTGTTTTCATTAGTTCAGAGAAAATCTATTTCTTTCCCGAATGAGAGAGAGAGAGATTTTAATAAGTCGAGTGTAAAACAATTATTAAGATATTTATTATTATTATTATTATTATTATTATTATTATTATTATTATTATTATTACTATTATTATTATTATTATTATTATTATTAAGTAATTTATATTTATAGATTTTTCGTCGTGAACAAAAGTCCGAACTCACCATATTGATTTTTAGCACTGCAGGTGTATTCGCCTTCGTCTCCCGGACCAATCTGATTAATCTGCAGGGTGACCGTTCCAGTTTTATCGTCGTAAGACATCCGAATTTTCCATGACTCTAATAACGGGGCACCCTTGTGCGTCCAGGAAACGGTGGGCTTCGGGTTGCCCCTGACACGACCCTCGAAGATCGCGTTGCCGCCCTGCGCGAATCTGGCGTTCTTGAAGATTTGCTCGAAGACCGGTGGCGACGGGTCGCCGGGTCTGCCGGTAAATCTGCGCGAAAAAAAAACAAATCGTCGATTCGATGCTTCGATCCTTCTCCGAAAACACGCGATTCTATTTCGCGAAATAAATAATCTCGTTCTCAGTTCGAATATTTAATTCTTCGGCGAAAATGAAGAATCGATTTTTCAATTCACTCGGAAATATAATAATTAGCGAAAAAGATCGACGAATAGAATTTTATTCGACGTTGCTATAAATATCCAATCGAATGAGAATTTGTTTGGATGATAATTTGTTCGAATAAGATTTCTATTCAGATAGAAATTCGCTCGGAAATATAATAATTAGCGAAAAGGATCGACGAATAGAATTTTATTCGACGTTGTTATAAATATCCAATCGAATTAGAATTTGTTTGGATGATAATACTGTCCGACACGATTTTTGAGTTCCTATAGCCACTATGAAATTCTTGTAGAGCTTCACTCCCTGAACAAGAATCCGAAAATCGAATTGCTCCATCACCCTCTCAGTTTTTTAAATAAACGAACTTTTGTAAAAACCCAAAATTTTCGACAAAAATGAGGTATTGCATGGAAAGTACAAACGTTAGAAAGTTTTAATTAGTGTTAAAAGATAGAGGAGAATTTCCAGAATATAGTGGCATGCAATTTATTAATTGTTTTTGGTCCTAAATAGCAATAAATTAATGTCAAAGTTTTAAAAAGTGTCGACGTGAGCAGTTTCTGCGCAATATTTTTGTATTTTTACGAAAAGTTTTTTGTTC